TCATCTGTGGAGATAGGAGATCCTAAGTTTGGTTACCAACAAAGGTTCATATAGTCAAAGCTATGGTTTTTCCAGTAGCCATGTATGGACGTGAGAGTTGGACCATAAAGAAAGCTAAGCTCCGAAGAATTGATGCTTTTGAACTGTGGTGTTGGAAAAGACTCTGGAGAGTCCCTTGGACTGCAAGGAGATCAAACCAGTCAATCCTAAAGGAAATCAACCCTGAATATTCACTGGAAGGACTGATGCTGAAACTCCAATATTGTGGCCACCTGATGCAAAAAGTTGACTCATTTGGAAAAGACCCTGATGCTGGGAAACATTTAATGCAGGAGAAGGGGATGGCAAAGGACAAGATGGTTGGATGGTGTCACTGACTCGATGGACCTGAGTTTGAGCAAACTCTGGGAGTTGGTGATGGAGAGGGAAGCCTGGCGTACTGCAGTCCATGGGGTCACAAAGAGTCGGACATGACTGAGCGACTGAACAACAACAAAGTTTGGTTACAGAAATTACTCTCCCCCTCCCCAGCTGGTCCTTCCCCCACACCTGCTCCTGGCACTCCCTGCCTCAGAGGGCAGCTGGCTCCATGTGACACAGAGTTAGGCCTAAGCCACCCGTCCCACCAGCTGCCAGTCTGTCTCTCTGCTTTCATCTCCACACACCCTTCACACATGAACACTGTTGATTTTCTCCAAATACCCTACACTCCTTCATATACTCCCACCTTGGGACACGCCTCACTCACAGGCTTCTAATACTTTGGTGTAATTATTTACATCCGGCTCTGTCCTCTTTCGAAGGTGAGGGCTCTGTCTTATTCATATTCGTATCTCATTTCCCCACCAACAGCTCCAGCCTTGTGGATGCACTCAGCAGTTCATGTGTTAATTCACGAGAATCAAAACCTTCCAAAGATGGAATGGGCTGCCTCAGGAGAGAGGACATTCCACTTCATGGGAGATGTGCCAGTGCCAGTTCTACCCAGGGCTGGCAGTGATGCCAGAGAGGGGGCAGAAGACTGGGCAACTGACCCTCAGGAGCCTGTGCTATGCTCAGAGTCTGAAGGCCCCTGAGTATTGGGAAAAGGCAGCAGCAGCCGCAGGCTGAGGGGAAGGATGCTGGGACTAACATGGGTGGAGTTCCAGCGGCCCCCAGGGAGCAGGGAAGAGGGCTCTGGTGGCAGACGCCAGCAACGGGGGCAGGCCAAACATAATGGAGCATATATTTGGCTTCCCAAAGTTCCTACAGAAAGCATGGTAACTCACTTAACTACAGTGTCTATGCCACGTGCCTTGCGAGATGATGCTTTAATGCGTGGAGGGAGGCATGCACGGGTGCAGTGCAGTCCCTATAGATGAGATGTATGGTAGACAGTGTGTGTTGTGTGTGTTAGTCTGTGTGTTAGTCACACACAGTCTGACTCATGTCTGACTCGTGTCTGACTCTTTGTAACGCCATGGACTATAGCCTGCCAGGTTCCTCTGTCCATGGGATTCTTCAGGCAAGAATACTGGAGTGGGTTGCCATTTCCTTCTCCAATGGTAGACAGTAAAATAGCAGAAAATAAACCATGCCATTAAAAAATATATTGGGTTGGGCAAAAAGTTCATTCAGGTTTCTCTGTTGCACTGTATAGAAAAACCCAAACTTTTTGGCCAAACCACCACTTCTGCACCTACCTTTAGCTACAATACCAGTTCCAGCCCATGCCTTCCTCAAACACTTCTTTACTCCAAAGTTCTCAGGCAGCAATAGGCTTATGGAAGTTTATGGAAGGTGGTCTGATGGAGGGAGATGGGTGGAGAAGCTAAGGAATCAAGGCAATGTACTGTACCACCCCCTCCACCATGGACAGCTCCACATTTAGAGTTAGGAAAACCACCCGACCCTCTAAGAGGATAGAAGTAATTACCTTTGCCCAGCTGTCTTTTTATGTAATCCAAATGGATATAATCTGGGTGGGCTGGGTATTTTAAAAATCCCAGCAATGACTATTTTGATTCCTGGTTTGATTTGAAATCCTGTGACACTGATGGAAAACCTCAGCTTGGGAAAATGACCAGCACTGGGGATAGCCAAGACTATTTTCCATTATACATTTGCCAAAAGAGCTGTTAGAATTTTTGAGTTCTTGCCTGTTATAAAGTAGGGCAAGAAAAATGCAAATTTTAGATATAATTTCAAAGATCTTTCATCCAGATAATAGTCATTTGGGTTTTTGTGGGTTTTTTTTATTTTTATTTTTTTTTTTGGCCATGCCCCATGGCATGTGGAATGTTAGTTTCCCAACCAGGGATTGAACCCATGTCCCCTGTGTGGAAGCACAGAGTCCCAACTCCTGGATCACCAGGGAAGTCCTTGGATCTTAGTCATTTTTGAAACAAGTCAAAGAGTGATTCCATCTTTCACTGAGATTTTGTTGGGCTGTGAGGCAAAGATGGTTTGGAGTAATTTCGCATATCATGAACATCTCCTTCAATAAAGAGGTGTGTGAGGGACTCAGAGGTCAAATACCAATAGAAAGCCAACAAACTGGATATGACAGACAGTATCATTCAGGTCAAAATATCACCCTTACATCTAAATGATATGAACAATTAGTTCCACAAGACAGAAGTGCGTCTTGCAATTATATAGGTAATGCTATCTAGGTAAATGGCTCCTTTCCCCGTGTGTTGGGAAGAGCCCTGCAGACAAAGGCTTCCATCTTAGGCTGCCTCCCCATCGTACTCTATAAAAGCATTCTCTTGTTCCACCAGCACTCAAGGAGCACCACAGATGTACCAGGGACTGTGCTGGGGGTGCAAAGATGGATGAGACATGGCCATGGCCTGCGGCACTTCACTCTAGCTAGAGACACACACATGATCGGGCTGCCAAGGGAAGGCACTTCGAAAAGAGGTCCCTGTGCAATGAGTATCTGCATCTGAGGAGGGCGTGGGGTGTGTTGAATCATGCCCCAGGGAGAGAGGGCATGTCCAGGCTGACTCCTCAGCGGGGCTCTGACCTAGAAGCTCAGAGGAAGGGCATTCCAAGCTCAGAGGACAACTGGAGCAAAGGGACAAAGCGGACTCCTGTACAAAGTACAAAGGACAGACTCCGTGGGCCTGGAGTGTAGGGTGTGTGGAAGGCAGAGCACAGAGCAAGGCTGGTGAGATAAGGAGAGAAACCCAGTAACAAAACCCAGCAGTGGTCAGAGAGCAATGAGAAATTAGAAGGCCCCAGAAGTGTCCCGGAAATGGAAGCAAAGACAAGAGCATCTAGGAAAAGTACACGGTCAGCAGGGTCCTTATGCCTGGGCAGGGACTGAGCTGAGACCACTGGACTGGGTGGTCCAGAGAATGAGAACTGAGCCAGGATGGGACAAAAGTCAGAGCACGTGGCCGAGGGATGTCAGTTGCCACTAAGAGGAGGACTGAGCAAGGATGTGAGTGGAGGAAGAGGCAGGAGGGAGGGCGGAAGGAAGGGTTGGGGTCAGTTTTTGTAGACTTCCGTGTGTTCTAAGCTGATAAGACACTACCCAGAGTGAGAGCCTTGGATCACAAAGGGAGGAGGAATGAGAGAAAACGTGCTCCAGGGAAGGGAGGGTAAAGAGGCTAGCCTGGGGCAGAAAACACAGCCCTCTTCCTCAGGACGCAGGAGAAGAGGCAAGGGCACAAGGCGGTATGGGTAAAGCAGGGCAGGAAGGGGACAACCAGGAGGTAGATGAGAACCCCGCTGAGGGCATAAACCGCAGGTCTGCTCTGACGCCCCGGCAGCCATTTCCCTGGAGTCTGAGCAGCACAGGAGCGTGGAGGGTACTTGATAAAGGAAGTAATTCTAGGGAGTCCACAGGGAAGGAAACTCCCCTCTTTCCAGCCCCCCAATAAGTCCCTGGGACCAACCAGAGTCTCTGACCCAAAGAGAAATGCCTAGTGACAAATGGGACAACTTCCAAAGCTCAGGCACCTTGTCTGCCTTGCAGGACATCAGTTAACCGCTTCAGGAGGAAAGCAGTTTACCTGATTCCACAAATAAATGTATCCATTTTTTTTGCCTCCGTATATGGTGCCATAGGATATTATCATGTGACAGGATGACATATGGCAGGACTGGACTAAGGAGACGGGGAGTCCAGATCATTAATTAGCCAGTTATCTGTCTTCTGGAAGGAACTTTCTTGGGAGCATAGAGCAATTTCATTGTTAATGAGGAAAATGATTGTCCTTCAAACAACAGGGTTGGGGGAGGGGGATAAATTAGGAGATTGGAAAAAAAATAAATAAATATAAATAAATTAGGAGATTGGGATTAATAGATACATAGCATGTTAGTGCTCAGTTGCTCAGTCATATCTAACTCTTTGCGACCCCATGGACTTTAGCCCACCAGGTTCCTCTCTCTGTCCATGGGATTCTCCAGGCAAGAATACTGGAGTAGGTTGCCATGTCCTTCTCCAGGGGATCTTCCCGACCCAAGGATTGAACCTATGTCTCTATGTCTCCTGCATTGGCAGGTGGATTCTTTAATAGTTGCACCACCTGGGAAGCCCTAGCAGATACACACTACTATATATAAAATACATAAACAGAAGGGTCCTACTGTATAGCACAGGGAACTATATTCAATATCTTGCAGTAATCTATCATGGAAAAGAATATATATACATGTATAGCTGAATCAGTTTGCTGTACACCAGAAACTAACACAACACTGTACATCAAGTACTCTTCAATAAAGAAAAATAAGAGTCCTGTGATTTTACGTCCTCTAAAATTGAGCCTCAAACAGGAAGTTGAGTATTTTGGTGCTCAGGTTAATTTCTACATAAATACCTAACTGGTGTCTGTGCCACAGCTGAGCCTTAGCACATGTCAACAGAGGCTTGCAGAGGCTCCCTGGGAGACATCTGAAAGTCCATGCCTTGTAAGCATGTGCTGCAGACCCAGGGCTGGCGTCTCTTACTAAACCTGAGTGTCATGCTGCAGGCGACAGGTGAACACAGGAGGACCCCTCACCTGCTTCCTTTATATGCTTGTAAACATCATCAGAGCCAGCAGAAGAGTATGGAATGTCATCGTGGGCCACAAAGTCAATCTGTCAGAGAGAAGAGTGACATCACCACAGGGATGGGGGTACATGTCCATGATTTGAAAATACATATTTTTTAAACAAAACAGCTATAATAAAGCAGTCGTAATAAGCAGTTTAAAAGATAGACTTGAATCCTGGACTGAAAGGTATTTTCGCTGTCTTTGTTTGCATGAGCTGATGGGAACTCAATTGGTTTCTCTCCTTTGCTGGTCCCTCTTTCTTCTCTTACCTCTGACAGTAGGTTTTAGGTTTTTTGGCCTTCTGTTCTTCTGCCTCTAAAATCTCTCCTTCAGAGATTTCATTCATCCATCAGATTTTACTCACCTCTACTATGAGAACCCAAAATCCTCATTTCCTATCCCACTGATGGCAATAGGCCCTCCCTCACGCTTGTCATATTTTATTTATTTATTGCCCCCAAAATTGTATTTTTGTTTTCAGCAAGTAGCAGAAAACCCTTCAATCACTTGACCAAAGGTGGGCACTTAGTAAAGCCATGAAATGTTAATGGCAGAGAAGAAAACTAAGACAATGATTGTGAAATGACTCAGAAGTAAGTACTTCCACTAGCAGCTGTTTCTCAAGATTTTAAGACCAGAATCTCAAACCCATTTATCATCCATTTCACAAGCCTTTACTACATAAAGAAACCCAGGCCTACAAAGAACAATGTTTCCCTCATCTCCCCCCTAAAAGCCTACATTTGCTATGAACGTGGGTTGGGTGTGATGACTGTCTGCCAGTTTCCTGCTAGGGAACTATCAGCTACAAGTAAGCAACTCCTTTAAAAATAGAGTGCTCAAGCCCTTGGTTTGGACACCTCTTTTGAAAGCCTGTCATAATTCAAGGACTATGGAGTTTAATAGCCCATGTAAGGAGACAGCCATAAAAGTTGAAAATCATGCACTTCTCAGGATGTCATGGCATCTGGTGATAAATGCACCAAATAGTTGTGTGTGTTTGGGTCCTTGGTCAGAATGTCTCAAAGTTGGGAGATTAGGGTACGGACAGGATGTGTATATCTCTCTCCCAACCTGGGGTCCCTGTGGGAGTGGGCTAAGGACTGGGCTAGGTCAGAGCCAGAAGTCTTAGCAGCTTTTTATGTAAATCCTGGAAATTCCAGAAGTCTTGCCTGCTAGTGGGTACATGATGCATCACACAGAATCATAAATCCTTGCTGAGTTGCAGGGTGCATGTCCTCTAAAAACGTCCCAGGCAAATCACTGTCTGATCCTTTTGCAGGTCATTCTCCACCTTCACCCCCATCCGAATGAATTTCCTGAGGTGTTGAGTTATACTGATTTTGCTTCTTTTCATCAGCAGAGCAGCCTCCCCCAAAGTAGGAAGAACCTCAGATAGCAGTTATCATGCCTCTGTAAGTTCTAGAACCTAAATTCCATATAAACTATGTATCCTGTAACTGGCAAACTCTCCAGCAGTGACATCTTTTCCTGTATACCTACACAAACACACCTGTAGTGTCAGTTCAGTTCAGTTCAGTTCAGTCTCTCAGTCGTGTCCGACTCTTTGCAACCCCATGAATCGCAGCACGCCAGGCCTCCCTGTCCATCACAAACTCCCGGAGTTTAATCAAACTCATGCCCATTTAGTCGGTGATGCCATCTAGCCATCACATCCTCTGTCGTCCCCTTCTCCTCCTGCCCCCAATCCCTCCCAGCATCAGGGTCTTTTCCAATGAGTCCACTCTTCGCATGAGGTGGCCAAAGTATTGGAGCTTCAGCTTCAGCATCAGTCCTTCCAATGAATACCCAGGACTGATCTCATTTAGGATGGACTGGTTGGATCTCCTTGCAGACCAAGGGACTCTCAAGAGTCTTCTCCAACACCACAGTTCAAAAGCATCAATTTTTTGGTGCTCAGCTTTCTTCACAGTCCAACTCTCACATCCATACATGACCACTGGAAAAACCATAGCCTTGACCAGACGGACATTTTTCGGCAAAGTAATGTCTCTGCTTTTTAATATGCTATCTAGGTTGGTCATAACTTTCCTTCCAAGGAGTAAGCATCTTTTAATTTCATGGCTGTAGTCACCATCTGCAGTGATTTTGGAGGCCCCCAAAATAAAGTCTGACAGTGTTTCCACTGTCTCCCCATCTATTTCCCATGAGGTGATGGGACCAGATGCCATGATCTTAGTTTTCTGAATGTTAAGCTTTAAGCCAACTTTTTCTCTCTCCTCTTTCACTTTCATCAAGAGGCTTTTTAGTTCCTCTTCACTCTCTGCCATAATGGTGGTGTCACCTGCATATCTGAGGTTATTGATATTTCTCCTGGCAATCTTGATTCCAGCTTGTGCTTCTTCCAGCCCAGTGTTTCTCATGATGCACTCTGCATATAAGTTAAATAAGCAGGGTGACAATATACAGCCTTGACATACTCCTTTTCCTACTTGGAACCAGTCTGTTGTTCCTGTAGTATAAATTCATCTATTGAATTTTTGTGATCTCAACACTGTAAAAATATGTAATGGGGGCTTCTTCTCCCCAAATTCACCTCTCTTGGATAGACATCCTCTCTAAACAAAATTAAAAGCAATAAACACACCACCTGGAAGTCATGCCTCATCCTTCCCTTAACACTGTGGCTTTAATCCAAGACAGTATCTCATCCAGCCTGTCTCCCAACCTTATGCCCACCCACTATGAGGTCATGTCACTCTAGGAACGTTCCTTTTGCAGGCTTTTGGTTTTCACTGGAAGTCCCACCCTCAAGGCTGTTGGCTTCTCACTTGTCTCTCCAGTGCCTTTTCCACTAATGTGAATATTGAGGTTAGACAGACAAGTGACTGTTTGTAACCCCATGGTCTGTAGCCTACCAGGCTCCTCTGTCCATGGAATTCTCCAGGCAAGAACACTGGAGTGGGTTGCCATTTCCTTCTCCAGGGGATCTTCCTGACCCAGGGACTGAAGCCAAGTCTCCCACATCACAAGCAGACTGTTTTCTGATGAGAGCCTGCTATAAAGAGATTTAATTGACATGGGCCCATGTCAATGACGCCAAATGAAGCCAGATAGCGAAATTCAATTTGTATACATCTACATAGCTGGGCTGCCTGGCAAGGATATGAAATATCAATTCTGACACTTACAGGTCAGCAAGACTGCTCTGGGCAAACTGTGCCAACTAAATTCTTATAAGTCCTGTGTTAAAAGTTTTCCGGTTCCAGAAAGATGTTGTACGTGCTGTTCCAGACACTGAATAGGACTGCTTTGCTTTTCTCCTCCTTATCATTTATCATAAATAAGCACAAGGAACTCTGCTCAAAACTCTGTAATGCCCTACAGTGGGAAAAGAATCTTAGAAAGAGTATATAAATGTAAATGCATAACAGATTCATTTTGCTGTCCACCTGAAAGTAACACCACATTGTAAATCTACTCCAAAAGACTAATGTCTAAAAAAGAAAGGACAAATAAATAAGATTCACATAAAAGCCTCTCTTTACACTGACTTACCTAGAGAGGTACTCAAATCTGCCTTTCTTTCTTACCCAGTCTCCAAGCCCAGCCACAGCCCAGTCCTTCAGTAGCTGGTGCTGTGAAACTTCATCAAGGCCTTTTGAAAAACCTAGAGATCAAGGGCTTGGTTGTATGATTTGGGTAAACCACTTAACCTCTGAAGCTCAGTTTTCCAATCTGTTAGGGAGGAAGCTATAGTAAATTATCATCCAGGTTCCTTCAAGTTCTGAAAAAACTCCAAGGATACTAGAATAAAGGTGGGAGGAGAGAATAAGAATGAGAAAGGTAATGAGCCTATCTGTCTTTGAAGCTATAAGCTGCCCCCATTTTCCACTCTCCCTAAACTTGACTCTGTCATCAAAAGCCCAGAGCCTTCCTATTTCTCTAGCAAAACATACTATCAAGAAAGAATTTACTTTCAGTTATTGGCCTACATTATAAAGTCTGAGATCAGCGATGATCTTTGTATTCTCAACGTCTAGACCCTACTCCTCTCAGTTATTCTTAAAGTGCTGAATATGATGCCTCTCCCACGTATCTTTTAAATTAAAACCTTATCGCTGAATAGAATGGAAGATTTCATCTCCTAATAAAGAAAAGTAGGGAATAGAGGTTCTTTTGTGCACAGCATTTTTTCAGTATCCCTGAAAATTAGTTCACTTTTTTTTTTTTTGGTCTAACCATGAAGCAGGTTAGATAGCTAAAAGTAGATCTAGGGAGAAAAATCCATGGGAGAATGCGAGGGCTATCCCAACTTGTCTCAGTCAGATTCCTGGCAGGAAAGAGAAAGGTACACTCAAATGGTGGTGAGTTGCACAAAAGTATATTTCAGGAAATCCAACAATGGATAATCCAGTACTCCAGGGATGGCACTAGGCATCAGACAGAAGCTGTTGCCTTCAGCAATGGAAGCCAACCCACCATGAATGGGCAGCGTGGGAGCTGGGCAAATAAAAACCCAGGTTTGTATTTTCCTGCCCACTTAGCTCTTACTGGCACCTCACACTGGCCAAAACCAACTTGAAGCCAAAGGGCAAGGGAGTCTGTAAAGGCAATCCACAAACACCAGCCTGCTGGGACAGAGCAGGCTGGAAAAAGGCCAGAAGGTAGACCTGCAATGGCGAGTAGAAAAGATCCAAACCGTAACTCAAACAGCTCCTTGACAAGAATGCCACCTTCTGCTCAATCTACAGCAGGAGCACCCCAGTTCTGACCAGTTTCACAAATCCTCATGTTCAGCTCTGGTCACTACATATCTGCCTCCATGAGAATAAGAGCAAGAGCTCCCATGCTCAGGACAAATCAGAGTTTAACATTCCTTGTGAAGCCCCCAAAAAGGACCTCTACCACATCTGAGCTTGGCCTGACATGGAAGATACTGTACTTTAAAGCCTTGATATAAACTGGGAGAGTAGCACTGACACGTATACACTACCGTATGGAAAACAGATCGCTAATGGCAAGCTGTTATATAGCACCAAGCTCAGCTCCGTGCCCTGTGATGACCTAGAAGTGGGGAGG